GGGATAAGTTATCAGACGACCAAGACCAATGGAACTCACTGCGCATGCAGATGAGTATCAAAGCCAAGCCCATAAACTTATTACGAATTACCCGTCATCCGAACTCCCCACACTATGGAGAACCCAAACTTATTCGATTAACACTAGAATCCTCGACCGACGTAGAAAACGTTTTGCACTCTGCAAGCGCGCTAAAATACGGATCCTGTGGGATACATACATATCCTGACTTCCCTTGGAGCGCGCGACAATCAAAAAGAAACGCCGAAGAGGGGCACAGCAAGCAAGACCGCCTAAACGCAATCTTCATACATGGCGTGCCAGAACATCCTTCTAACGATGTTCTAGGGACCGGAAAGCACGATTTAGAACAGTGGCGGTTCATTTGTGAAACACTTTCTTTGGATAATATTGTGACATTATCTCTCACCAGGATACCTCTCTCACCAAATTATAGAGGATGCGGCACTAGAATCCTAAAACTTGTGGTTCAGTCAGAGCAACAAGCAAAGGATATATTAGACCGATGACGTAGAAATCGGAAACACCTTCCTTCTGAAATTCGGTTAAAGGTCGCGAACACTTTGCACAGCTCAAATATTAAAGCAACTGAAGCAGCAAGCATACCGACGAATGTACAGAAGCGTCACTTGACTGCTGCTTTAATTGACTCTGACGTAGGTCTAAACAAAGATTGGGACGCACCTTGCCTGAAGCAAATTGCAAACGCGGTATCATTAGCCCATCAAACAAACGAGTAACTGCCGACCTCCCTTCGGTTAGCATTCTCTCACACTTGACCCCTACACTCCACAGTAGGCTCATAGAGACCGATAAACTGGCCTGCTTGTATACGAATGCTCAGGGTCTTTCTAACAAACTGGCCGAACTAAAAGATCGACAAGATTCCGGGTCGTATGCTGTCATTGGTATCGCCGAGACGTGGTTGCACATGGGAATGTCGGACGCTGAAGTTTCGCTACCGGGCATGTCACTGGTCCGGAAAGATAGGCTCACAAAAGGAAGAGGGGTAATCCTGTATTACCAAAACGACTTACAGTGCGCAGCTGTGAAGGATTCAGACTCGCAGTTCCCCGACTCTCTTTGGTGCCGCTTGCAGTTAAAAGGCAGGGACGCTTGACTTATGGTCCTGGTATACCGCGCCCCTAACTCAACACCCGGAACCGACTACCACCTAACGGCTGCTATAAGGTAGAGTTTACAACTAAAGTACACTCACATTCTTATCATGGGTGATTTCAACGTACATTGTTTCGAAACTCCAGTCACGATCGGAGAACAATTCAAAGCCGATCTACAAGATCTAGTAACTAATGTTCCTCTTTACAATCACATCACTTTGCCCACTCGGTTCAGAACAGGTAACAGGCCATCTGTGCTGGATCTTGTGCTTACCATCGAGGAGCATATGATTGATATGTTGGTTTTAGACTGCCCGTTGGGTCGCAATGATCACGCCGTGATCAGTTTCAACTTCATCTGCTATGCAGAATATCTGAATGAGAACGATGAGACTGTGCGAACCATCACAAGTTACGATCGATTAGCCCAGCTCATCATCGCCACAACTTGGTCGTTCCTCGAAAAAGAACCCCCGGAAGTCGCCTGGCACAAATTCGTCAAAAATGAAGTCAGCTGATTGCAAAGTCTTCAGAGATAAAAGTTTGCTATAAGAGTAAGTCAGTTTAACACGTTAGGAGCAGAACTAGAAAATGGATGACAGTACGCAACGCAGCATAGCGAGTGTACAGAGAAGCTCAAGCACAATAAAATTGGGACAACTACGTAGCCCAACGTAACCACTGCACTCAACTGTTAAGGGAAGACAAAGCCGACTGTCAGAAGAACATCGCAAAAACCATCAGTGCTAACCACAAACTGCTGTACAAGCACGTTAACAGCCTGCGAAATGTGAGGCAAGGATTTCCTCCACTCAGGATGGCTGATGGTCCAACAAGAACGGTTGCGGAAGCAGCAAACGCGCTGCTGATGCAACAAGCTCCCACTTTTCGAAAGGGTCTTGCCATCAGGTGATCTACCAAACTTTGTCTACTTCTTGCCAGGACTAACTCACATCACTTTTACCGCGGAGGCTGTATTGCAAAAGCTGACGCCTCTACGCAAACACATCTCGCCGGGTGTCGACACCATTCGTCCAGAGGCATTGGATGCAACAGCAAGCCAACTGGCAGGAACTTTAGCTCAGTTTTTCCAGCGCTGCTTAGACCAGAACCAAGTTCCCGCCATGTGGAAGCTTGGAATAATAACCCCGATTCACAAAGATGGACGCAGAACTGATCCCTTGTACTACCGCTTAGTATCCTTTCTTCCTATACTCTCTAAGTTCATGGAATCCATAGTTGCCAATGTGCTGGTGTTCTATCTGGAAAACTGCAACACCATCACTCAGGAGCAGCACGGTTTCCGTCTAGAGCGGTCATGTATAACGAATTTACTAATTGCAAGCAGTAGTTGGACCGAGGCAGCTGACGCTGGAGAAGGTGTTGATGTGGTCTACCTGCATTTTTCCATGGCTTTCTATCATCCAGACGATCGGATTCTACTAGCCAAGCTGCAGAGCTACGGGATTGGCGACCCTCTTCTAAGCTATATTCCAACTTTCAACTTCAACGGCAATTATTGGTCAGATTTCGGAGCTCTTTATCGAGCCCCGTATAAGTTGAGTGTGGTGTGCCGCAAGGCTCAGTTCTAGATCCACGTTTGCTTTTGGTGTTTATTATTGATCATGCATAAGGAATCGCTTCGAACTTTCTAATGTTTGCCAACGATATCAAGGTCTGGCACAGGATCCAGGCGAACGCCGAAGAAAATATGATTCAGAGCGACCTATATACGGTGTATCAATGGTCGACCCAAAATTTATTGCATTTCAGCGTCAGTAAATGCAAGGTGCTTTCCATCCGACATCAGGGCAGCTACATATATCGGCTGGGAACGAATATACTAAAACAATCAGCTGTCGAACGTGACTTGGGTGTCCTGGTTGTAGATGACTTGGGTTGCTCCAGGCAATCTGAAAGGCCTCGAAGACCGGGAACCACCACATCGGGCTGCTGCGACGGGCGTTTGGACAAATAAACAGCTCCATATTTCGACAAATGCTCAGGGCGTATGTTCGACCGCATGTCGAATACGCAATTCAAGCCTGGCATCCATGGCTGAAACACAACCTTAATGCACTGGAGCAGCCACAACGCCGGGCATCTAAGAACGTAATTGGAATACACAAGCTTTCCTACCAGAAGAGGCTACAACGATTGGGGATGTTTGGTGGAAGCCATCGCAGATTACGAGGCGGCCTGATTATGGTCTACTTGATTCTGCGAGACCCACATCATGTGTGCCGCCCTTTACTGCAACTCAGCAGCAATACAAACCTGAGGGGCCACTCATTAAAGCTCGCAGAACAATACTGTTATCTGGAGCTCCGCAGGAATTTCGTTTCTATTCGTGTCTGTCACCTATGGGATGCTATCCCAGAATCGGTCGTCTCTGCACCGACACTAACAGTATTTAAATGACGGTTGGATGATGCACTCAACCATTTACACTTTGTCATTTAACACTATGTCTCCATCCTACACCTGGAGTATACCATGGAATTATTTGTTGTTAACTGTGGTTGCTGTGAATCTAAGAGGATCGCAGGATTACAGCGGAGCAAACGATAAGTCCTCTTTTCCATATTTAAAGTATTGTTTTACTATCCTTATTATCATCCTTGTTATGTTGATATCCCCACCAACTATCCAACGGGACTTGTAAAGCAAGGCTTCTTAACCCGTATAAATTCATTGTTCATTGTTCAAAGTAAATCTTATAATTCGTTCTGTGAAAATTTAGTTAAGTAAATAATTAGGATATTATGTTGACTGCGGGAAGCTGATCCCAAGAAGAGTCACATGTAATTTTTAAGGATGTTTATGCTCACACATGATATCGACAGTGTGTACTTTGCCTAATTAGAACAAAAATAGGACTTTTCAAACCAGTGATTGAGAGGCAAAACTCAGAGGGGCAAACAGGTTCCACACACGTTCATCGAGTGTTGACCTACAGCAGATATTACAACGGTTTTCGTGTCAAGTTTCTCAGTATATTTTATCTGCGAGGACTTGTGCCTTAGTGGATACAGGATCGGCGCATAGCATTAAACGATAAAGATAGCTGGATTAATTAGACTCATGGATACTTAACCATTTTACTAGTCATTCTACCTCTGCATAGACACTGTACCATCGCGATTGACTTGACAGGTCAGATTCTCTTATACACACAGGCTACACATGATTATGAAGAAATCCTGTCTACTGGAATATAATGCTTGTTTACCAACAGCCAGACACCAACCTGGACTTTTAAATTGGTCAAGTCAGGATTGCTTTTGTCTAGCAAATGACTTTCCAAATACGCCCTGAGTATAGGCTCGATATTTGTTCGCTTCAGCGAATCGGCCACAAACAGTTAAATCTTTTAACTATTTATTCCGTTGCATGCGCAGCGTCGATGCGCTAAGAGAATAAATGAATGTCACAAGCACAACCGGAGGTCCAGTGAGAATTCACTTGGTAGCGTCGCATACGTCTGTAGAACTGCCTTTATCCTTTGAGTTCTTGCCCTCTACCCTCCTCTGAGGTTGGTAGCCGAAAAATGCACCTGAACTAGTAGAAATACTTACGCTCGCATCGCAGGGAAATTTCAGCACAAGCCTATGCCTCTGCATCCTCTGACAAACAGAGAAAGTTAATCAAGCTAAGAAACTTTTGACGAGCTGCCGAAGACTGTACAGGCCAGTGAATACAGATGAACTTCCATGCGAAATACATTATTTCCCGTAGGGTAGATTTGTTTTAACTTTAATCAACCACTAATTAAAAACACTGTGAGCTCAAAAGTGTGTAAAACATTCAAAAATTAAATATGGCACAAACTAATATCTGACTTTCTTAACATTTTAGAAATGCGCAAGCAAGTACAATACAGGAGCAACCAAACAAAAAGGCTAGTTTGCCTTATACATGGTTTTTACCTATTTATTTACTTTTAATTTATTGAAGCCCTGTCTGTCTTGCCAACGCACTCTTATATTTCAGAAACATGTATCCACTGCTCTTAGCTTTGCTTTTGATGCTAAAGGGATTCTGATATATGCACCTCCATCACCATAAGTTGCGCGCACTAAAAGAACCAGGTTACTTTTTCACCACACTTCCGTGTGTGATTTAACTGTTTTGTTACTACTTCAGTAGTATAACAACAGTCACGATTACTATCGGATTTAGGGATGTATTTAATTGAAGGATCTTTACGGTAGATTCTAATTCAGATGGCTTCATGCATCCCGAAAACCACTAGACGACCATTTCACTATATCGGGACTCGTTACCATTACTCGTACCTAATCTCCATCAAGATCCGGACCCACAACCGCTGGCAGCTTGCGGACCTATGCAGCGATCCATGCCAGTAGTACGTACATAACCGCTGTTAGTGGAAGCCGTGAAACTTGGGACCAACTCTTCCTTTTATGCCGGTATCAGGTTTTATTAAGTATGCCACTCCAAAGACCACAGATGAGCTATGATTCGCTATTATGCTGTAAACTTGCTTTCTTTAACCGTTTCTTTGAGCAAGGCATACCAATGAAGTTGTCTCATAACTGTCGATATGCTTTACCTATACGACCAACATGGCTTGAAGTAGAGTTCGTTTTACCGGATGATTAGAATCCTAAGACACGCATGTACAAGGATAGAAAGGACGAAATGCGGAATCAGTCATGTTGAACGCTGTCCAATTGTTGATTAATCGCTTCTTTTCCTTCTTCATAATCAGGTCGTCAAATCCCGCATTGTTTTACAACGACAAATGCGAAATGCGCTTTGAGGCGTTACATTCAGTGCCGAAACAGTATGAACCCATGCAAGAAAACGGAAAAGATTGCAAAATGCTTCCAAGTTCAGTGGTGACAACGGAAAGTGAAATGAATGAGATGAGGAAATTAAGTGTTGGTCTAAGTTTGTGCGTGTGTTACGCATCTTCATGTGGTGGGGTCGGTACTATAACAGGAACTGCACCGAATTCCATCTTTTTTGGTGAAATAAATAGGTAAGGATAATGGAAATAAAATGCATGCTATTATTACAAATACTCTGAGCTTTGGTCCAGGGATAATTTTTAAAGATAAATAAGTATAACTCACCTTCCTAAGATTGATTATGCATTAGACTTCCTTACATTTCTCTGTCTTCCACGCAGCATGTCTATTCTTCGTAACATTAAAAGGTTACAACAAAGTCTGTGCGTACCACGAATTTAAACACGACGATGCCCGGTCGCTTATTTAGTTTGGAATTTGATATTTAAAATCTGATTTTGAATTGTTGGGTAGCTTAGAACAGTTAATAGAAGAAGCGTTAGAGCGACGATTGCGGCGCAATACCAAAAATTATATGTACACAGTTTATATTGGGAAAAATGTAATAGGAACGGAAAAATGATTTTCTACTAGGAAGAATTGTTCGCGCGCTACAAAATGCAACTAAATAACTATCATGCCAGCTTTATATGGTATAGTACGAATGCAAAAGTTTTGCTCTACTTGCGGATCTTAGTAGGCCCCGGAAAATGTTTACAACTTCGCTTGCAAAAATCGCCATGTACTGTCCATTACTCAAAATGCAAAAGCTTTGCACTAACATAGCACATGGACGCGCTTATATTATTACTTAGCTGGGCAATGTAAGTAAATTATACTGTCGATGCCCAAAGAATGATTATTATACTTGAACTAATGAGACGATTCATGGGTCTAGTGCCCACAGAGTAATAGAGAACATACGCACTGAATTAATTGTCAAGGGGATAATTGCAATCTGAGGGGCTCGATATGTCGTATTTATGTTTCCGCGTGTACTTCCTTTGCAAACACACTTGGACTGATTAATATATATATATATATATATATGCATATATATATATATGTATATATACATCAAGTTTATTCCCGAATGCACGACACCCGGCACAAAATGGCATGATTAGCAGGTTGGCTCTATGGTTACTAAAAATTGCTGAGGCTACCGGGGCCAACTTACATCACGTACAACGATTTCTGCGAAACGCAGAATTAGATTTCTGGGTAGAAAAGATGGGATACTGAATACCCGAAAAGGTGAAAGTGGAATGCGTTTCCCAAGCCTCATTTTAAAGCCGCAGTCGGTCAGCATTATCTAGGTCTGCAGGCTGGTTGTGCTTTAAAACTTCGTTTAGATTTGTATATATGTTCATTATTATTTTTATTATTACCATTATTATTCATTAAAAGCTGTTATTGTCAGGCCAACGACTGACAGCCGTTATACATATACATAGGTTGCAAGTCATCTTCCACTTTGAACGTTGCGTAATGTGTAGCAAACAGTTGGCAAATTGTCACTAATATACAAAATGGAGTTGCTTTGAAAATAGCAGATTTGATGAGGACACACTTAATCACTAGCAATCTGTTTACAGTAAGTGTAATCCACAAAACTTGTGTTAGATGAACAGTTTGTAGCAAAGCTGAGGTTCACCATGACATCATTGACACGGATGCGTCAGACTATCTGATAAGGAGTACTCCATTAGATATCTGATGAGCGAACGTGTGAGCTATGTAACAGCTAGCAGAAGAGGATATGTAGGCATGTTTTAACTAAATGCATGCGAAACCGGCGCTTGAGTATCAGAGTACCGAAGCACATTTCAGGGCAAAATCATCGCAATCGAGGGGTAACTACCTAAGTTTTCTCTGGCCATGGGCATCAGTCGGTCTCCTTGAATAATGTACATCTAGCAAATAGAAGTTCTTCGTCTTTATGCTCCCTTGATATTCCCAGATTAAGTTCCAACTTCCGAAGTTCTGTGACGCACACCTGTGTTGCTTGTTACGTTAATGTTAGTAAGCTGATCATGTGATGCCATACGGGTTATTTGGTGTACAAGTCATCCAGTACCACGGAATGGACCACTCTTGCAATCCTAATCTTCGTGCTCTTCTAGCCAGAAATAGTTGCTTTAAAACTGCAAGGAAGAGCCACGAGGCTATATTATGTCCACTATTAGATGCTCATGCCTTATGGCAATCAGTCTTTCCTTCGTAGAAATAAAAAAGCAAGCCAATGTATAGCTAAAGATACACGCTCGTTAACTCGCCGAACTGCTTGATCTGACGGCCAACCATTCTGTCATCAGCAACCTAGTACTACAACTAGTAGTATGAGTAACGTCCAGACATCTCACATGGCGTAAATGTATTTGTTTGTACAACATTATGTCACTCAAATTTAAGATAAAGTGAACGCATTTTCAGTGTTTGTCCAGTAAGGGTTTTAATACAGTCAAAACCACCGTGAATATGATGCAGTGAATATGGACAAGTGTTGTTCCCACGCAATAATTCCCTATTTGCCCGGCACACTGACTGCGTTCACCTTTTCCTCTATTTTAGTCTGTATGGCGGTGATACTGGACTCACCTTTGGTTCTTGGATGGCATTGGCTTGTCCAATCTCTATCGTCATGCTTCTGTTCGCCTGGCTATGGTTAACGATACTTTATGTCGGACCGCGGTAAGTCCTTGAGTTTGATGTCGCACACTTGACTTGCTATAACAGCACTTCGGCGGGGGCCATTCGCATATTCTGCGCTTAATAATACTACAGCTACTAATAATAATGATAAATGGGTCATCTGTCACTGATATCTGTGGATTTAGATGCTTTGCTTTCTAACAGCTGAACATATGTATTGACCACTGTAAAGTAACAACTGCTTCTCATCTGCCTCAACCTGTATTGGCGTGCTTGGTAGGGAAATCCTCACTGCTTCTGTTGGTGAATAACTGGGTACTCGACTCCATTAGAAACCGAACCCATGGCCTAAGAACATCAGCGGCTTACGTCAATTTCCGGCAGCCAATTTCATGGCTGACGGCGGCAGATCGTCGCGGCTTACAAACCGAGTGCATTATGACGCGGTTCAGCTTCTACTTTTGTGCGAGCTTTAAAAGTTGCGCTGGACTTGCATGACAGTTTAAGATGAGTCCCGATATATCGTAGTTTGTTTATGAGTCGTGGTGGTTCACAGACGCCTTCGTGGCTTTGTGGCCAAGGCTGAGAAATTGTGGTCATTTGTTCTGATCCTGTTGGAGCAATAGGACGCGCATCACTGAGACTAGATGGGACCAGACAGCCGTCTAGTACTACTTTGGATACAGGTTATAATATGTAGGATGTTGCTTTGAAGAACGCTCAATATAAATAGCAAAACGTTACCCTACTCATGAGTAAGCATAATATTATGCAAAAGGTTACCCTACTCATGAGTAAGTATAATATTAGCTCAACGGCCATCTGAAACTGTACGAAACATCTCTGCTTTTAGTAGATTAGTTGCGCTGTGCAACTGTTGACTAGCTTACACCATTATTTCTGATTAGGTCCTACGCCAAATGCAGATAAGATTGTTAGATATACCAGTAGCCTATTGATCTCGCAGAGGACTCAAATCGTGGTATTCCGGTAATGGCAAATGTGGGGTGCGTTGACTTACACGTTGCCACCAAATATAGGACGAATAGAATAGAACACAAGCTGTAGATAGAAGGTGATTGGTTGTAAGTGGGTGCTTTTAGTCTCTGTGCAGCAAATTTAATAGAAACATCCGTTACTAATTATTGCTTCTTAGTACCTGTGAATGTTGTGAAAGCGACTAAGCCTTCACGTAGAAGCCGGTATATTGGTCTGATAACCGACGACCACTGATTAAACCTTACGTATATGTGCAACCTGCTAACGTCGTATTGACAGATTACCATTTAAAAAAGAATTCCATGTTCTAGATGTTTAGTACCTAAGCTATATATATGATGTATACCAAGTATGAACGAAGCTTCCAAGTTGATGAGAAACATACTTAATAACATTAGGTTTATAAGTATATTTAAGCCATGCGCCCAAGGCAATAACATTACGAAGCTCATTTGCAGACAGATCTGCAGCATTGAACAGCAAAGTGTTGGACCCAGTCAACGTTTTTTGTTCCGCACATATTTGGGTTGTGGTGGAGCAAATTCTCCGCTTAGATAAATAAATACATAAGTAAATAAGTAGCATACTTTCCATTGGATAGGATACATTTTCTTTTGTCCAACATCATTAACACAGCGCGTTTAATCAGCATTTTATTTATTTTCAATATGGATCAGTGGTGCAAGTTTTTGTGTAGTATGTACTAAATAACCTTATTGCATGGCTAACTTTGTCACTTATTCCGGGTCGGACTCCAAGATTGCGCCCAGCGATTGCTGAACGTCCAAAAGTGAAACTGTTTTTGACATGGAAAGAAAGCTTTTAAATGAGATATAAATATTAACATGCCCTCTTTGGCTCTTTATTGCAACTGTAGCTTGGTCCACAAATGGTTGTGCCTCAACATGAGGTAATTTAAGTGAATGTTTTGTTTGATTTTCCATTGGTGGGTTACACAAAGTATACGGTAGCAAATAGAATTTCTGTGGAAGAAAAGATAACAGTCAAGAAAAAAATGATTTGTACCGAATTTAATAAAGACCGCCAAAGATTTCATGAGCTACTTGTTCCAGTATATTATGAATTAGTTACATGTCGAATTGCTTGAGTTGTTTTTGCTTACTTTTGCATAAAAATATATGTAGATGGCAAAGCTTAACGAACTGTATCTATGCCTGGCTAAGGGATAGTTAACTATCAATATTAGACCATACGCTGAAAAGTCAGGCGATGCAATGCATTAAATATACAACATCGTCGCTCACCTCTGACCGCGAACTTCACTCTCACTCACTGCTCTGCTGTGGTTCGGGTGAATGATGACACGCCGATTCCACCCTCTCACTGTCGAGTTGAGGGTCAGAACGAATGCACACTGCCGACGATTCCCGACAGGATGAAACAGTCGTACATTGCTTTTTCGAGGGCGCGATGACTGTCTGACTGAAGTTAAATGTGATGAATTTCTACCTTGACAATTCAATTCCCTCTACTAGCCTACTGAAATTACCCTATATTGTCAACTGTCTTGCCCGTTTCAAGTGAGCTGATATCTGATCAACACACTGTCCGGTGTGGAGATTTGTTTGTTTCAAGGCGATTGTGACACATTGCATATTGCGTGAGACGAGTATGGTGGAACTGTACGCGGAATTATGGTCATATCCGCATTTACAACTAAGCGAATGGATTACCCCCGCATTTAGTATACTAGGCTGCCGTAAGAATCGCCATCGATTTTATGACTAATTTTCTAGTTCCTTTGCGGTTGCGCATATTCCTTAAAACAGTCCACCTTATCTTGTAATTTTGCTGTCTTGCAAAAGTGGCGTTCGCATTGTTTTTCCCGCTTGCTGCTTTAGTTAAGGGGTATCGGTAAGATAACCTGCTACCGTTCTCAAACAATATTAGCCATACCAATCTACATTGAGGACCAGTAGGGGACAACCTTTAATTCTCCTTCGCTTCCTTACATCGGAATTTTGGTCACTGATAATTTACGTGCATATGCTTCTACAAACGTGTGAGTAGTTTTGACCGACCGAGGATCCCTGTCCGTTGACGACCTAAACAGTAAATTAGAATGTAAGGTTATTTAGTGCAAAAGTGAATATTGCATCGCAGATTTCAGTTAGCAGAAATCCATTTCTGTTAATAGACCTAAACATCAAAAGTTGACTTCCCATTGGATTGTTTAATGTTTGTCCGAATATAATCAGAATTTCGGCCAGGTCTACTTCACTTAACTAGTTATTCCGTCTACTGGCATTATAACCTGCTTTCATGTAACCAAATATAGGTAGATTCTTTGACTGTAATTATCTACTACGCGCAGGGACATCAACAAATCGCTACACAGAAAAGAAAGCTGCACATGTGTATTAATTTTCTGTTCCTGAAAATAAGCTATTAGATCCCTGGCAGTAAAGCACTGACGAAGTCACCACGACTGAGGTTTAAACGACGGCAACAAAGAAGCTACAGCTCGAAGAACAAACACGAACCTAAACTTAAAGAAATGATTTAAGAAAGTTGTTAATTTCTTCGTCTCCATTGTACACGGTCAGACCGCTATTGCTTAGCGGTTGAAGGCCGTTTCCTCGTGGAAATCCGTCTGTATTGTAGATCACAAACACACAGCAGCAGAGGGTGTGCCATGCTAGTCATTCAGTCGTATGACTTACGAAGCTTTTATGATCCAGCAGTCATGTGATTATCTTAGGAAATGGGGACAGCGGATTCCGGAACCCACACATAAAAGATTTATCGTATACAACTACACAGTTTCTATAAAAGCATAACAGTTGTCCAGTGATTGTACGAATGTGTAGTTACATTTCGCCGTGAACAATGTTCTCCAAAACTAAAAAACTCTGCGGTGGTAACGTACTGTTCAATTGATAAGCAACCATATTCACAAGCAATTGAGGCCTTTTGACTGATGAAGCAACCAGTGCTCCCGAATAAGTTACCAATCCGATGAACTCGTTAGTATACATGAGCCTCTGTCAACTTTCGGTCGGAACTGGCCATCCATAGGGCGCTTTAACTGCAGCGCTGCGTAAAATATGTTTGTGCAATTTCTTATGGCATAAAAATAAAGCATCAGGTGAACGAAACTAAAATTTAAAGCTGCCCGCCACACTTGTAAAGGGAAACAAATATGGCCGATAAGTCTTAGATTCTGTCTAAATTGTTTCTTCTCATGTAAGTATGGAACACCCCTTACGCATATGCGTTTCGTTCGGTATTGGTTCATTTCTAATGGCAATTGGACGGAACCTTTTCAAAAACCACCCGTAGTTCAGAAATAGGTGAACATATGTTAGGTAGTAGGATAAGCATAGATGATATTCGAATCACCAACAATGTTGTTTGCCATGTTCGAAGCGTTATGGATTGGACAGACCCGTAGTCAGGATTAAGGCAATGTTCCTCTGGTGACTATCAGCTGAAAAATATCCAGCTGCGTGCGTTCAAGCTGTCAGCTTGAAACACATTGCCGCTGTTTACTCAAACTAAATTGTTTTGCTTTATCTTTTGGTTTTTTAAACATTAGGATGTCAGCAGTAAAGTTTTAACATGAGCACAATTTATGCGACATGCCATATAATCTAACCAAATGCTAATGGAATTGTATTATTTAATCTCCATTGTCTCTTAGCTCACTGTGCGTTGCCTCCCGGAATGTAGAACGTGCGCAAATGCTGGATAAGATTATTGAAACGGAGGCCAGAAAACTGGGACCGTTTACGTGAGCTACTTTGAAGTCTTGATTAGTAATACTTTCAAGCATATCAGCTACAATCCAGCTCCCCGTGTTTAATTAAACAATCAGTTTACAGCAAATTGTCTTTGGTTGTAACCAAATGCAAGATATTTGCTAAATTGGAATATCGGTAAATGCAACTCCCTCAGCTAAAAAAGCTTCGGCTCTAAAACCTTGCGTATAGGGGTGAGAGCTACAGTCACTTCGGTATGCATACACTTCTATGAACAAACCATATACAATCTTGTAGTCTTTGGTTGGCTTTGGGTGTCCATATACGTGTCAGACTTCATCTGACTGATCTAAGCAAACAACAGCATTCGTGATCAGCAGTTAATTTGGTATCGTTAAAGGAAAATTCCACCAACAAATTGTATTCAAATTATAGATTGGATCTAAGGGTCAATTTGCAAATCCGTTTGCCATTGTGATTGATTTGATCTGATAGAAACCATCTACGCTGAGGCGAATTGAGCTTTCGGTAATAAACTACGTTGGATAATCGATTTACTTTGCATCTTCCTGAACCCAAGCCAAGGACAGGAAAAATTGCAGTTATCTGCCTTTAGAGACAAACTGTTGATAGGTAGCCAGAATCATGCATTCAGTATAAGTATGCAGAAAATCTGTTACTTCAAGGCCGGACAAGTTTGAAAAATAATTGGATAGCCTATCCTTATATTGGTGACTAATTGCACAACCTTTATTTGAACTAAAAAGACCAAGACGTACTACAATGTAAAACTATTGTTTTGGGTTAGTGTAGTTACCTCAGAAAAGCAAGAAATTTGACAGATAAGTGCCCCAGTTAACTTGTTTTAGTAGCAGTTCATAGCTTGACTTAATTCAGAACTTCACGCCATGCACTGACATTCGATCCATTATCACAAATCAGTCATCGGTTCGCCCTTTAAAGTGAGGCTGGCCTCCTATTCCTACGTAGGTTTATACAAAAAATTGCCATTCCTTCAACTTAATTGACTTACCAGGGTGCATTAAAAGTACACGTCTCTCTACCTCCAACACTTTACGATGGCACATAATTGGAAGTCCCCTGATTCATAGTTAATAAACACAATATCTAAACAGAACTGAGCAGCTCTATGGTGATTGGAGAAACTCGAATGTGCTTACATGAAGGAAACTTTATGCTTAGTCAAAAATCGGTTACAAAGGTTAAAATCGTTGTTGTTTAGCGCTATGTGAAGCCTGGAAGTCAAATACAAAGGAAAGTTTCATTAGGATCTCTATTATTACCAACAACAAACAACCTGATGATCAACTGTCAAATTTTAGGTATGCAGAAGGCCTCTGCTGTGCGCTTTTCGCTCTGGTGAGTTCACTATGGATCACCCGAAACATGGGAGAAATTGGTTGGGGAAAATACTTCAAGCAGAAGGATGTTGTGTGAGTCTAAGTAATTTGCTGTCTGATGTTGCACCTGTCATTCGTGTTCTGTTAACATCAATAGGCAATGCTGTTTTCGTTTCATATGTCAGGGCCTGGGTGATTAAACAAGCAACACAGCTTGAGAAGTGATACTATTTGTTATTAGGTGTTTCTGCACTGATTTGAAGGCAGCAAGATAAAATATCATTAGCCTTAACGTCTTTTATGCGCTAAATTCCTTCGCGCTGTAACCTGGGAAATCTCCATCATTTTAACAAAATAAATGTTATTACGGTATTTGAAGCTGGTCATACACATTATGTAGATGCACTCTATAATTTAAGTTAATTTCAGACCGTAGGAATTTAAAAATCGGGTCAAATTTAGTGAAAAGGCGTTGAGCGTTTTTACGGAGAAATATACGATGTACTAATGAATAAATGACTTTTGGTGTGGAATAAATGCCACGCAGGTTCAGAATTTCAGGCGGATACTGTGATACAGATACATTGTATAGGTGTCTTCTCAAATGGAAATAGTTTCCACATTCAACAAATATGCTGCCATTGAGGTGGGTAATAGTAGACGTTAATTGTGCCCCATACAAGATTTTCTTTTCTGTCTACCTTACATACAACAGAGTGTAGATAATGATAGTGTTAGAAATTCCAGTAGAGAACAATTGCACACCTTTCCAACTGTTTTGCTAGATGATATCTAACGGCTACTGAATCAAAAGTCAGACTTAAAAAATGAATCGGGCCTACTGGCAATACGTCTTACTCGCATTCCACGGTCGCAAATCGCCCCTAAGTAGCTGCTTTTCTAGTTGCATACAAAATTGCTATTCTCGTACGCACACTGGTCAATTAAAGCATACGGACACAAAATAACAAATGGTTAAACTGGTGTAAAGGTCACTAACCCAAAGGAAGCTTATGGGCTACTGTCCGCCGCATTTGCACCCAAGGTGTACGACGACCACTATTAAGAGTCACGGCAATTACCAATTCATCTGTAGCTGCAGAAGCCATTACATCGGCAAAACAAATTGCTCGCTGAGTAAACGGATTGGACAGCGTATACCGAAACGAATTACTGAGATCATGACATAGCAAACAACTGGAAATGGCGCAACAGGCACACTGCCGACGTCATCTATCGCTAGACACCTCATCAGTACAGGTCAAAAAGTAGAATCTTACTCAACCACTTGTTGTTTTTTATGTCTGCTTTTGCTGTCCTATACAAAGAATCCTTTTTTCTCACCCGTGATCTGCATATGTCGTTACTTTGCAAATGACCGGATAACACGAAATGGTACTATATTACAGTGCTCGTATGCTTATTATCATGTCCAAAGAAAGCTTAGTTCCTTTTCCTCTGGATATATGTTTGAGGTGAAATTAGAATAGATTAAATCATTTTACCCAGTCCAAAAGCTTGACTATCTTAACGAAGCTCAATAGTGACAGCAAATTATGTGTGCTAAAAATCAATTCTATGTTACCTTTATCTAAGCTTCGCTCCATACTTAAGCAAATCATGTGGAAATAAATCACATGGACTGCGGATAATCTTGTAACATAAAATCTGTATCTGTAGGGTAAGTATTGCTCATTTCTGCTCAAATTAAATTTAACCCTAGCGGTGGAGAAACATAATGTTGGAATTACTTGAGACTCATTTTAAAAATTTGTATATCATGTTATGTCAGTTGGAAGGGATTTTGTGTACCACGTTATTTGAGTGCACTTTCGAATAATGCGTGTTGCTTCGGAAAACAGTTTAATAAACCAGTGGACCAAATCAACTATGAGATAACATTTGAATTTGACCAAAATATGCTCGTAGGAAACCGACTTGTGGGAACATCGTATGTTCTAAAATTAAGCGTTGGTAGTCAAGCAAAAATAGAGGGTAACAATAACTAAATGAAGTATATTTGTTTTCATAACGCAGTTCGTAATTTTATGCAAACTAAAGATTATAAGATAATACGAGAAAAATGGCAACAGTAACATACCCACAAATTACTTTAGATAGTATACCAAATTGCTGTGAATGTTCACCGTCAAGAGCCTAAGCTCATCTCACTCTAATGTCGAATCATGCACCCAGCGTAGTGGCGAGGAAGGCAGCTATCACGCATGCTACTGGAAAGCCCATAGAACGAAGCCATGACCGAAACGGACGCAGATATAATGGGAGATCGGACGGCACAACGCCAACCAGACAATACGAGTGGAGAGTGGACCTCAATCAAAGAAAGTTTACGAGCATGAGCCAAAGATACATAAAAATGTGTGGAAAGGTCAATAAAACAGAGAGAAACACATTTGTTGGTGCATTCAGTAGTAACCGCAAGCCGAATAACGCAACCGAGAGTAAGCAAATCAAGAACTTTAGAATAACTCCAGGCTGATCGGAATGTGAGCTACGGAAGTCAAGCTACTGGGTCAGACAGGGCCCCTAAAGTTGCATTCCAAGGAGGAATGAACATGATATTTTATGATTCCCTATGTATGTTGTGTCGTGGGACGGAAACATGGTCGCTAATTCCGCACGTGCGCACAGCTTTTGAAAACCGTGGTCGCGTGGAAACTGATTGTGCTTTCTTGCAGCAGCAGCAATTTGATGCACGCCTACATCGTGGAAAATTAAAAACAGCTACTACAAATCTGATAACCAACCACTTGTTGTTTACTGTCTGTCCTGTTCCTCACAAGGAAAGCTAATATTTTATTTCATTTAAAATGTTACGGAAATTACGTAGCCAGATTACGCATCGTCCGGATAAAAAGCTGAGTTTTTCTGCGCATCTTTTATTTAATATCCAGTATGTAATGCCACATTATAAGTTGCTGTTCGCAGACGGCACTCACTCAATCATATGGGCTGATATGATTTTAAGTGTCATACGTGGCAAGACGTTCCCTTCAGAGCACACGTTATTTTCCTAAGTTTTAAATATACGCTTGGATCTTCTAGTACGGAGACTTATGGAGTGGCCACAGAGTTCTCATCCACACAATTTTTTCTCATTATAGCCATGATTAATAGAAATCGCTTACTTCCTTATTGAAGCCTGTATGAATGATCAAGTTAGAAGGTGACCAGCAAGATGTTTGTACGTATATGTGGATGGGTGGCAGGTAACTGGTTTACATGTACAAGTTGTCTTCTGCATCTATGGGTAGTGATTGTTCTCTATGTACACTATGAATTAGCTTCGCCGTGTTCAATCTTTGTTTTAACTTTATAACAAAGGTTTGTCTTTGCGGCTGTCAGAAGTTTATTCGATCTAATTCATGCGCGCCTGAACATCAGCTGCGTCAGTGTCATGCATATCTGGTGCCATGACATATCTGGTCCAACCAGCCCTGAATGTGTCCTTTCAGATTTGTGTCCGATGCTCAACCGGCCATTATGGTTTCACTTTTGGCTTTCATCTTGCCGGCTGTTAGCCCGATGGAAATGTGGAAGCAACACCAGCGAAAGGAAACTCGACACAAAGGTGAAAATAACACACCATCTATATCTGCGTAATGTTTATATAGGCCTACTTATCCGTTTTCTTTTTACCTTGTTTCCATTGTTTGCGTTGTTACACTTGGGTAAACAAATCTAGTATTAGCCATGGGGTACCAACCGCGACATATTCACTAAGTCGTGCTTGTCACTTACGATTGCTCAAGAAGCCATTACGGTCAACACATTAAAGTGGCTTGGCACATAACCACAGCTACTGACTCCAACTGGCTTGTAAGTGTCACTGGAAGAATCTGATTCCTTACGTATGGAAACAGGAACAAACTCTGAGTGAGTCCAAATTTTCGTAAGTGTGGTCGACTCACTTATTTCTTAAAGTAAACGAAGAGGAATCTATACACGACCGCAAATATGCTTTCAAAACAAGTAGTAACCAGACCATAATTTAGTTAGACCGACATGATATCCACGGGGACAATTTTTAAATTCGCCTTCAGTTGGGAGTCTAGAAAGCACATTATTTCACTCTCCAGTGGATAAGCCCTCAGGTGGTCTTTACCTACGGATAATGTAGACACAAGAATCTTTTTAATCAGAATAGAAACTTACGACAGGCAAATTTGGATGTGAAAATGTTTCAGCGGCATTCAAAGCTACTATAATGCGCCGCCAACTTCCTTCAGTAATCCCTTAGAGAGGCGTAGTAAGTAGCTTACAGGAATCAATGACAAATTCGCATGGGGTTATTAAAACTCTGGTGGATTCATTCGACGTATCGATGTCTAAGTTAGTACCTTTCAGTGTAAAACATTAGGGCTTACACACTACGTTGGTGAAGGAGGTGGAACAATGTCATTACATCTTACTAACCGTTGGCATTTTACGTCAGGAAATTTAAGTTATACCAGAGTAGCCAAGCGTGTTTGATGTAATCCATATGAAGCCATAGCCAACTTTTTAATTGCCTAGCAAATTGATTAAGCGGACCACCTACCTGTATAAACGCTAAAGGTTATTACATACTCTCCACATGCTGACATTGCCATGCTGTGCGAGCTGATCAAATGTTTGATTCGAAATAATTTGGAACAGTGGTGGTCGTTTCTCCCAGCTTGATAAAGGGATTGCATGTGTTTCATCACCATGCGAGGTGGCATCTTCATTGCGATGATATGTGGTGTACAATCCTGCTTATTGAATCGGCAGTCCGGGATAGACGGGCAGGTGACATTTGGAGGTGCGCAATTTTGATTTGCGTCACGTGATCTCTGCACATTTTCTTCCGCGGCTGAACCATGTCTTTCTAGTCACCTTAGGTCTTTCTCTCTGAGTTGCTCGTACACGAGGTAGATGTCGATGCGCATGTTGATCGCATTATTAGAGGAGTACCATGCTTCTAGGAATTCTCTTCCTTTCCATATTGTTGCTTGAGCTAGAATCTCTGTTTTGTTCCAATTGAAGCTATGTACCTCCTCATCCACATGCGCTGAGACAAGAGAAGATGTGTAGTGTTTCTTATAAGCCATCTAACGTTTTTGTATTCTTGTGGATAGTCTCATTTCTGTCTGTCCCAAATAGTTCATTTCGCAATTATTGCAATTTATTTTATACACGACGTTTTTTCGTGTACATATCACAGTACTGAAGACGCCACCTCGCATGGTGGTGAAACGTATGTTATGTCTTTAGCAAGCTCGGAGAAACGATCAACAGATGAAATGTTTGGTTGTTCACAAGCATTGGCATTTTAAGTAACAATGCATTTCTTTTATGATTTTTATTCGATACTGGATACAAATGCTGTTGGCCGAGCTATCGTTGGTGTAGTACAACTATCTGGGAGCCCATCAGCGGTAGCTGTTCATAGATTTGCGTTATATAAAGCCAGAGAAATTCCCAATCCGAAATCGTAGTTACTTTCTCTATGCTTGTAAGAACTTGCTTTAGGATATCTTTACAAACATTCTGCATCTTATGGATTATGTTATCTATTTGCGGAAGCAGAGTAATAACCAGTTATCTTTACAACACATAAAATATTTCTGACTGTCCCTAAATGAATATGCTTAACATTAAAGCGAACGAACATATGGAAAATGGTTAATTAGCGATGTTCTACCTCATAATAACAGGCATTAGGCAAATTCACATTCAAGTGCTGCTGAATAAATTCATACCAAGAGGAAAAACGATTCACTTCTGGGAAATGACAAACTAATCTCCACATAAGACCACATATCAGTTTGAGAAGATTGATGATAGCGAGATTCAGCCACCATATATCCCGGAAGGCTCTAGACTGCCGTTCCGTCTTTTTAGGACTCCTCAGTAGCTTGAACTTACCGAAGCCTGCCGGATTCGAATCCATGAACGTACCCTTACCAGCCGACAACTTATGCCACAGAGCCATATTCGAGGTCAGTGGATGCCAAAGAAGCCTGCTACTACTTACTAATAGCTACATTTGATTTGCTGACATGGTGGTAACCAGCAAATAAGCTATCCGAAGAACATAAGAAACACTCTGCTAAGGCTAATCACATGAAATAAGCACCAGGTTCCCTGCAATATCTCCTGGCGCATGGTTTTTAGGTTACTTTATATTCTCCAACAGTGAGTATGATGGGCCCTAGCGTTATTCGTAAACATGCAATTGCGCGACACCTGATCACGCTCCATTTATGATAGGCTTGTAGAATGGAGGTAATATGAGCACAAAACAACTTACCATTTACAAGACTTGCCTTAATCCCTCTTAGCTGTAACCTGCATTAGAACTTAGGAAGCAAATGCTCATATCCGCACAGTTATGTTAAAACATACCTTGGTTACTGGAATGCATGCTTATCAAATTTAAAGGAAAAGGATACGTTCTTAACTGGAGTGGTGCATTTTCTACATTGTATTTTTCTTACTTCTTAGCGTTTTTATGCGCATATTTTTGTCTTGTCTGTCAGTGCAATCCTTTGATGTTCGTTACCCTTTTACACAGATGTGCAGGTTGATAAACAACCTTTGTTACCTTGGGAGGTTGCAAAACAGCGTTTTCCGTGGGGTGTGGTATTCGTCTTGGGCGGAGGATTTGCACTTTCTGATATCTGTCGGGTAAGTGAAACACCGAATGATTGGATATACTTGTTAAGGTGCTACTGTATAAATTATTCCGGTGCTTAATTTGATTTGGGCGTCTTGTTGCACATCTTTTGTTTGTCTTGTCTTGTCGTCATGATATCAGACCGTGTGTTTTAACACGGTGCGATCATACTGTGAAATGAATGATATATTTCACTGTACTGAGCATTTGATCCCGTAGTCAGCTCTAATTAATACAGGAAACCAAATAAAATTTTACATGGAGGAAATGCATGCGTATTTACCGTAATGTAAATCTCCCTTCTAGATAGCAAATGCTAAGGAGTTCCACATTTTGCTTTTGCAGTATTATTTTAATCTGCCATAATATATCGGATATCATGCCTAGGGGTGCAGACTGCCCAGAATTGATTTAATTCTCTTTTACTAACTTTGTTATTAATCAATGTATCCACTTTTTTAGGCATCTGGTCTATCTACAGTGATTGGAGAATGGTTGAGTGAAAAACTTGTTGGAATTCCTTCCACAGGTCTGATTTTCCTTTGTTGTATACTTTCTGGATTTCTAACGGAGTTCACATCGAATGCGGCAACCGTCTCCATGTTACTTCCCATCGTGTTCAGCCTGGTAAGTTGGAGATGTTGGTTGGATATCGTGAAGGTGCGCGCGAATCAGTGTGTCATTCGTTTCCGTAAGAAATTTCCATGCAATGCGGTTATTTCGTTTTAGCGACACTGCCATATTTGCTTGGATGTTTGCTTTGGTTGCTCGGCAAAACGCACCACGTTTGCATTGAAAGATGCTGTTAGATTAGTTTATGTACTAAGGATACAGGGAAATTAATATACCGAACAAGTTGAATCTTGTCTTTTAATGTAAGGCAAACTGTGCATACTTCTATCCATCAACTGACAATAATATCTGCGAAGACCGAATCTTTCCATGAGCAGATATTTAGTGGGGAGCTCGACGGTACGCCTTAGAGAGCACCGTCTAGCAAGACTCCACGGCAAAACGAAGTTGTCTGACGCAACCACTATTATTTTGTCTTTGCGAAAGTAACATTTGTAGGTCTGTATGATGGAGGCTTATCATTCTATACGCTGGCTATTTCTCACCCGTGCGGAATCAGTGATGGTGACGTCAGCCGCGTGCCCAAAAGTCCTCTTCTATCATGCTACTCCGCCTTTGATTATAATAGCTATAAAAGGTTTATATTTATCTTAGTTATTAAGTTTCGAATTCCAATTTGTTACTGTGATCAAATCAGATTTCCTCCCAATATAACGGCGGATTAAAAATTTTTAGCATGAGGGCGATCCATGAAGCACAGTCATCAAACGTAAACAATAAATGTAAAAAATCAACGGGGTTTTAGCTTGTCATGCGGAATACTACGATAACATTTTTCAACTGGTCAGAAATTCAAATGAATAGTGAAGTCAAAGGTAGGCTAAGACCAGAGGTGTTCCCAGCTTCACTCATGCTTAAACAATTTTGATCAGTAAGCATATAATAGCTTTGTTGCATCTTCGCCCATGTAGCAATGAGCAAACCATGTATTTTTGTAACGATAGACTATAAGCCCTTTCATATACGAACCACAATTTAGTTGGATGTGGATGTTAGAGAAGGGCATAAAATCAAAAGAGGATAAGCTAGTAAAAATAGCCAATCGCCTGCATAGTATCAGCCAATACTTAAGGGTAGCCGAAGACGTTTGACTTACTGGATGGATAGTAATTTTCAAATACTTAAGTTATTGAATGAAATTCATTAGACCCACACGCAGTTATATGTCCAATGACATCAGCTCAAGCGGTAGTGTCATGGTGAAGTTGAGATAGTCAGTTTCAATTGACTCACTGCGCCCAGAGAATATGTGCTGCTATTTGGTTTCAATAGGTAGAAATAGTCACTTTTCTCTCCAAATTTTATGGGTATTGTACTTACTCACGTTATAATAGATTCCACTAATGTTATTTAACTAGTTAAAAACACAATTTTTCTGTCGGCTGTATGAGCAGTGCATTGAAGCATCCAAAGTCTCGGTAAAGTACAAGGGGGTCGTATTTAATAAATCAGCCAAACGTCCATGAAAATGTGCCAGCCTAGCTGCTAAGTTACACACATGGCGGAAGGCGCTAAGCAAAAAATTACGTTAATTATACATAATTCATCTATGGGATAAATATTTCAAGCAGATAATAGCTTTGAAGACTTAGACTTCGTCCATCTGCTCCGTGCTTTACCCGAAGTCGACATGGAGTCGCAGTAAATATCCGTGGGTTAGCGAATTGCTTCCCTTTATTAGCTAATTTGGAGTATTTGGAAACTCAAAGCACCAGTTCACGCTTGTCTAAATGTAATCGGTCAAGTAAATGTAGCACGGTACAAACAATGACAAATAGTTAAAAAACCTTTCCCCGTACAGTTTCGCGATTCAGTCAGCTTCCACTATATAATCGTGTACCAGGGTTGCCATACAAATACTACTAAAAGTGTCTTTTTGCGATAGCTTACATTAGACGGAGCAATTCATTGGACGCTTAAAGCTGTGAGTGCCGAGTAGTATTTATGTGAAGGCGATAGGCATTCCGGTAGTTAACTTTTCTTGGTATATTTAAACAGAATTATATTATAGGTAAAGTAGACTTCACTGAGCTGCTGCGACAAGATATGTAATTGGCTACCATTGCGACAGCGGATCGCATCAACCCTAGCAGCCGGCACTTAATGTTTTACTCGAAAACAGTGCCAAAACTAACAAATGAAAGAAACTTAGTTTCTAATCTAGAGTGTATTTCATTCGGCAGTATATCAATTGATGATAAATATTTCAAATGGAATAAGTTCACCGTGGTGAGAAAACATAGAACACAAATGAAGATCACAACTGTGTGAGGAATAACGAGACGAGTGTAATGTTTGTTCACTTATTGAAACCAAATCAATATATGTGTGCGTGTGCATTGCAGCCCATGTGTGGTGTACCCAGACGCTTAACACAAGCGGTCAGATGCCGCCACGATATCATATCATTTGAAAAACAAACGTATCGACCATGATAATGGTGCTTCACTCGAATGCTACTTTACTCGACTCTAACTCAGGACTAAACGAAGATTGGGACTCAACTCGGCAGAAGCAAGTTGTAGACGAGTTATCCTTCATCTATAAAAAATGAGTAACTGCCGACCTCTCATCATTCGGCTTTTTCTCACACTCGACCCTTTTAACCTTCCGTGGGTTCATAGAGACAGCCAAGCTGACTCCCTTGTATACAAATGCCCAGGGTCTTTTCAACAAGCTGGTCGCATTGAAACATCGCCAAATTTCGAGGTAGTGCTATATCACCGGTGTCAATCAGACATGATTGCACATTGGAAAGCCGGAAGCTGAAGTTTCGCTACTGAGCATGTCACTCATCCAGAACGATAAACTAACGAGAGCAGGCGGGGTAATTCTATATTACCGTAGCGACATACAGTTCGAGTCAGTGGAGGGATTCAGACTCTCATTTCCCTCATTATCTTTGGTGCCGTCCGTAGTTGAGAGGCGTAGACACTTGCCTTATTGCCTTGGGGTACTTTTCTCCTAACTCTACATCCGAAATGGACTGCTACCTTGCTACTGCTTTAAGATGCACTTTACAAGGAAGATACACTCACATCTTTATCATATGTGATTTCAACGTATATTGTTTGGAAACGCGTACGACGATAGGAGAAGAATTCCAAGCCGATCTAAAAGAACTCGTTGCCAGTGTTCCGCCCTATATTCACACCACTTTACCCACTCGCTTCAGAAAAGATACTAAGCCATCGGTGCTGGACCAGATATTCATCAACGAGGAACCTGTGAATGATATATAGAAAGTAGACTACTTGTGGGGTCGCAGTAATCATACAGTCAGTAGTTGCAACTTCGTCCGATATGCGGATAATCGGAATGAAAAATGTTAGGCAGTGCAAACCATCACTAGCCATGATCGATTATTCCAGCTCGTCAACTTCACAACCTGGTCGTTCCTGGCCGAAGAATCCACGGAAGTCCCTTGCCTTGAGTTTGTCAATAAGTGCATTCAGCTGATTACAGATGCTTCAGAGATCCAAGTTTACAATGGGTCGTTAGGAGCAGAACTCAAAGATGGATCTTATTGCGCAACTCAGTATGGCGGGCATATGGAGTAGCTCCAATGCCAGAAACTTGGGACAACTACGTGGTCCAACGAAACCACTGCTCAGGGAAGACAAAGTCGTATGTAAGAAAAGTATGGTAAAAGTCTACATAGCGAACCACAAACCGCTGTACAATTATGTCATTGGCCTACGAAATATGAGGCAAGCATTTTCCCCACTCATTCCGAAGGATGGCTCAACAAGAACGGCACTAGAAGCAGCAATCGCGCCGCGGATTAAATATGCCACCACATTTCCGTGGGTCTTGCCATCAAGTAATCCTCCGACCTTAGGCGCCCGGCAGAGAGGACACACACACTTTGCTTTTATCGCTAAAGCTGTATTGCAGAAACTGACGTCTCTGTGCAACCACATCTCCACAGGTGTCCATACCATTCGTCCAGAGGCACTAGGAGAAGCAGCAAGCGAACTGGCGGAACTTGTGGCTCAGTTCTTCTAACGTTACTTAGACCAGAACCATGTTACTGTTATGTAGAAGCTTGGAATAATAACCCCGGTTCACTAAAGTGCATACAGAGCTAGATCTTTAAACTATCGCCCAGTATCCATCCTCCAGGTTTGGAATCCATTGTTGGGGATCCGCTTGCGTGTTGTCTGGAGACCTGTAACATTATTACTTCAGAACAGCAAGGCTTCCGTTGACAACGATCGCGCACATCGAATTTACGGGTCGCATGTGGTAGTTGAACTTAGTCATCTGACACTGGGGAAGACATTGATACGGCCTACCCAGATTTTTCCAAGGAATTCGATCGTCTAGAGCATCAGATACTTCCTTCCATGCTCCAGTAATACGTGATCGAAGACCCTGTTTTAAGCTGGATCTGCAAGATTCTCCTCCAACGACAATTAGTGGTTATTGTTCGGAGCTCTGTATTTGAGTCCATACAATTTGCGTGTGGTGTACCGCAGGGCTTATTTCTAGGTCCACAATTGTTTTATTGTTTAATAATGATCTCGCAAAGGCAAGCACTTCAAACTTCCTTCTGTTTGCCAACGACATCAAGCTTTGACGCAGGATTCAAGTGAATGCAGACCAGCATCTGCTTCATAGGGAGTTAGATGCTGTACGTTGGTGGACAAACAAAATTTACTGTCTTTCAATGTGAGTAAATGCAATGTACTCTCCATAAAACACCAGTACAACTAATCATACATGCATGGAACGAATGTACTGGAGCAATCGTCCGTCATACGTGATTTCGGTGTATTTGTTCAAGATGACTTACGAAACGTCTACTTAAGCAACTTTCATTAAATCTGACATCTAGCATTAATCAATATGATGCAGCCGAACACCAAGCCTTGGTACCTGTAGCTCAAATGTCTCCTGTCAAAACAAAGTCCCCCGGAACATCAGTTACATATGCAGTGATTGCTGCAAAGGTCCACCGAGAGGCCGTAGTTGCGCCCTTAGTAAGCGCG